GGAACAGGCTTCAGATCCCTTGAATCAGCAATGTCCCCAGTTCTACCCTGGCCAACAACTCTAGTAAGTATTAAAAAAAAAAAAAAAAAAACTTATTCAAAATTAATTTTGAAGGTTTTTATACTGGTCCCTACTTAAATTGAACCAAGCCTGTTTCCATGGACAGCTAAGTAAAAAGACTACACCATCTAGCTAGAAGAGTCTCTATATCAACTGGAAAGCTACTGTCGCAGGGAAAGACAAATGGGGGGGACCCAAAAGGTCAAGGAGGAAACCCCGGGAGCAGAGGTTGAGGGACGAACTGAGGGAAACAAGTGAAATTAAGAAAGAGTACTCACCTGCAGCGAAACCCGCGGCAAGGCAGGAGCACCGGGAGGAACCCGCGCAAGCCATCAGCCGCGCTTTCATACAGCTGCGGCCGGCCGGTGACGTCAGCGGCAATTACCAGTCAGCGGGAATAAAGAGAGTAGCCCCCAAAGAGGCGGGGGAACAGACACCGGGAGAAACCCCAGCCAGACAGGTCTGCCGGAGGCCCGGAGCAGAGCGAGAAATGGCGATCCCCAACAGAAGAGGATCCGACGCCTCAAGCGGCAAGGGTGGAGCCGCTGACGGCGGGGAAGGTAAACCCGCACTCAGGGCAGGAGCTCCAGTGCAAAGAAAGGAGGGAAAGGAAGAAAGAGGCTGGAGAGACCCCGAGCCCAGCAGCCTCCACAGAGAAGGGGGAGGCACTGACCCTCCCTCCAGCTTCCAAACAGGTGGGACAGTGGAGGGACCTGTGGGACCCAAGGGTGCGCCCCAGAGAGAGCGACAATATTGAGAAGGCCCAGAGAGAGGGCAACAACACTGTGAAGGCCCAGAAAGAGGGCAATGTTATGCTGGGCCAAAGGGGCCAAGATGGGAAAGACCAGGGATGACCCTGAGGTCTCGCAACCACAGAGGGGAGTTTTAGATAGCCCCTAAGCAGGAAAACGGTGCTGGTGGAGGGTTTTTTTTGTAAAGTATTTTGTGTTTCCCAAAGTCAGGAGGGGTTGAGCGTAGAGGGGAGAGAGAAGACCCGAGGGGAGAGGTGTGCCTAAAGATTAGGAGGCATCCATCATGCGGGAGAGTGGCCGCAGGACCAACAGTGGCCCACCAGGCTGGGGATAGGGCAAGGTAGAGGGGAGGGGGAGCCTCACAGAAGACTGCCGGA